AAAAAAAATTAAATTGCATAATGAGAATTTCATTCATTTACCACCCCCTCATGCTCTATGATTCTTATTTTTTGGTTGTGCAATTGAACTTGGCAAAAGCGTAAAAAGAATATGGTAAATCCCTATATGGTTGCTTCGTTAAACAAACAACAGTAGAATGCTTTTTTTTTTTTTTTGAATGGATTTACAATTTGAAGGTGATAAATTTAAATCTCAATCCTTGAATTAAAGATACATTTTTTGAATATCGGCTTAGTGCGTCGGGCCGTAAGCCCAGGTGCAACAATAGAATGCTGTTTAGCTTGTTCTCGTACAAAAACAAAAACCTTGTTCTGTACAACATGACGTCGGCAAACTAATGTGGATTCAATATTATTTTAAGATGCTTTTAAAAAATATTTCCATTTCAATTTCCATAATGCAAAATAATGCATCTTCTACGCAAGCACAAAACATTGCCATGTACTGCATTCGTCTTCTTGGGCTAGACTAGTTGACAATGCACCCACTACACCCAATCACGAGCTGTGTTCAAATTTCAAACTGTAAGAGGATTCTTGTCTTTATAACAATTTCCCATCCCCCAAAATTCTCTTACGTTAAAAACAAAAAAAAGAAAAAAGAAAAAATGATTGCTATATACCAATTTCAAAAACAAACATTGCTTGCGCCTTTTGTTTGAAAGGTCGAGGAATTTTACTACTAACTAATTAAAAGTCCATATTACAACATAAATTTCAAATTTTTGTTTAATGGCGGTGGCAGATTTGTGCAGTTGGTCAATTAATCAGTTTAAGGAAAAGGTAGAAAGAGAAGAAAATTAAATCCACAAGGGAGAGGGAACGCAGAGCAGGGAATGGGTGGCGTGAAGGAATTCAAAAGCAGACTACGGTACAACCGGGGTCATTTAAATCTCCCCTCCCACTTGCTTTCCAACTTGCCTATCCCATTCATACTCATACAAATTGCAACTTGCACTTCTTTTAATCCCCAACTTGCATCCAATCTTTGAAAATCTACATGACTTGTCGAACCCCCCCCAAGTGGCCATTTGATTCCTTCACGCTATTTTTTATTCAGAGCTACTAGAACAAAATTTTTTTTTTTTTTCCAATCCAACCTGCTCCATCAATGGAGGAGTACAGTTTTCACATTCAGGGCCCTCTACTATTAATGATTAGTTTTGTGACAATCTAACTAACTCAAACTGTACTTTACTATTTTTGTTGATCTTATAGCAACACAATCATACATGTGAATTTATGAAACTTTGTCATGAGATGAAATTTTTGTGAAAATTATTGTTCATCTTCCTTAATTAGTTGTTAGCTCTTCCTAATTTATTGTAAATTATTTGTAATAGCAACATGATCCTACAGAAAACAAATTAAGAAGACAAAATTAATTAAATTCAGAATCGTTTGTACACTCTAATATTGATAGCTACAAATGGGATCGTGTGAAACGCACATCTAATTCAACCGCCTACAAGATTTGGAGATCTGCCCCGTAATATTCGGCCTCCTTAAGTACAGATTATTCATCCATTGCAACATTCCCAGTGCAATTATTCTCAAACGAAACGAGCATTTCTAGATTGTCTCCACTAAATTAATTCCCACTCATTTCTCCCCTTTCTTAGCCCAGAAAATGTGAAAAGCAATACCCAATTAATACCTTATACCAACCACCTCCGTCACTTCCAAACAAGTCAAATGGCAACTGAAACCCTAAGAATCTTTAATTTGCTTAAATAATTTGTTAGTCTTTTCGGAGATGCTAAAGCTAATCTTTTTCCATATATATATATATATATATATGGACCGCACAAGTGCATTCTTAACATGTACGTTTGCACATGTTTTAATGTTTCCTTAGTAATCACCGGATCGCAAAAACCATTTGCATTGTGTCTTCCTGGGATCACAGTACTAATATTAATTCCAATGTATGTTTGGATCGGTCCGTCAGCCGGCTAGACATTTTCATTTCTTGTAACTCTTGATGATCATGGAATCTAGACACAGCCAGCCTTAATTTAATCCTGATTTTATGTAATTATGTAAGATAATACCTCCCTAGAAACGCGCTTAACTCCAGATTAAGAAATTCTCTCTTGGCAGTTGGCCCCTTCTTTTCACATGGCAAGTTGAAGATTAAAATTTTTTTTTTTTGTAAGATAATAATCGAAGTAATGTTTTATATTATATTTTGATACTAATTAAGAGTATTTTACAAGAAATGAAATTCTCAAAAAAGAAAAAAAGAAAAAAAAAAGTAGGGAAATCTAGGATAGCACAAGAACTGCCATCGAATACTCACAAAACGACAGTGTTTCATCATAGACAGGGAGAAATACAGAGAATCTAGAATTTTGTAGAGTTAAACTCACGAGGATGGTTTGTTGCTGCGTCTGTCGAGATTCTCGGCGGTCTGACCCAGGGACTGGAGGTTGCACCGGACAATTGTGTCCACGAACACACACGTGTCCTCCTTTGTGTTGCCAGGTGGCACGTCCACCACGTAGGACTCCACCACCGTCGTTCCGTTATCTGCAGGTGTAGGGTGGAGTGTCGTCACCGACCGGTAGTTCGCCAGTCGGTGGTCTCCGCCTACCATGCTGAAGCTAAGGACGTGGCGCTCGTCGTCCAAGATCTCAAGGCGCTCCGTGCTCCTGGCCGCGGGGAGGCCCGAGATAACGTGGACCTCACGGAGGGTGCCCACGTCACCGTCCCCGACGATGACGTGGCAGCTCTTCACGAAGTGCTTGTACGCCTGGGGTTTGTCGAAGCGGCGCACCACGGACCACACGGTGGACACCGGGGACGAGATCTGCTGCACCACGGCGGAGCAGCATTGGTTTGGTGCCACGGGGTGTATATGGTATCTTGCCACGCTGTCAGGCAACGGCGTGGAGCATGTTAAAGGTGACCGCTTCTGGAAACCCATGATGGAGTTATCTGTGGGCACCGCCTGGGTGGTTCCGCTGCCGTTGATCCTGTGGAGTAAGACGGATGACTTTGGAGGATTTGGAGGCATTTTAATTGCTTAGAATGGGGCTTAGAGAATTGTTTGGGTTGAAAGTTATGCCTGTATTATATATGGGGAACAAAGGAGATGAAGTTGTTTGTCACTTTCCAACAGGGAAAGTTAAGTTTTTTTCTGTTGGCAGTGGGCGTAATTTAGGACATAGGTGGGTTGGATTTTGTAAAGAAGAGGAGACGGTCTAATGAATGCTCTTGTGGGGATAATAATAATAAAATGGGAGCAAGTTGCTCTTTGTAAAGTTTCCAACTTACCCTTTGCTTTGAATTCTTTTTTAATTTTTTTACAATTTGAACGTGTCTTCAAATGGAAGGTGGGGACATTATTTGATGACTTATTTTATGTAATATAATGTAGTTTGGATTATATAATATATTTTTATATTTTTCTAATTTTTTTATCAAATTTATCTCAATTTTGCTTCTTAAAAAATTGTTTGAAAACCAGGACAGACAAGATATTCATCAATATTCACGTGAATTTTTTAAGATACAATAAGATGTGACATTATCATACTGGCAAAAAGGTAATTATAGTAAGCAGATAGTGCCTAAAAAGGGTGAGCCGCTGGTAAAATAAAATAAAGTACTAGCAAATTGATGGTGAAACAAGTAGGTGGAGAGGTTAATTATGGCAAATGGGGTTGTTGGATGAGATAAAGGAACAGTAAAACTGAATTGACCTAGAAACGCAATTTTAATTAATTAGCAACATAAAAACTGCTCTAAATTCTTCCTGTTCTCTGTTCCCTGCTTTATATTTATATATAACGGCAGCAGCTTTTACGTACTCTTTTTCACAGTTTGAAAGCGCTACGTAGCTTAATTTTTAACGTGATATTCTTCTGTCTTGCTTCGCGAAGCAGACACAATAAAGAAACAAGTTGGAGTCCACAGCACATGATCCTCATCAGCTAACCTTTCACATGGTGGTCCGATCCCACCTAGGATTAGTTAGAGAGACAACATATATTGCTAATTTTTTGCTCATTTGAACCCCTAGAAAGAGTTTAATTACCTCAATATTTTATTAGTACATCAGATTAATTATTGTATAATGAAAGTATTTAATACAATTCACTTTCCTTTTAACCATTGATAGAGAGGTCAGTCTCTCAATATTAAAGAGCATGTCTCTTTATCAAATATCAATAGTTAAGTAAAATACAATTTACGTAAAATAAATTATACTTCATCTTTTATTATATGCAATGACACAAAAAATGGATTAAAAAATAAGTATGATCCTAAATCAATCCAATTTAGAGGCAGGGAGTAGAAACATTGAACTAGTTTATAATTCATTTATAAGATCACAAAAAAACCTTAATTCACATGGAGTAATCAAGTACTTAGTACTATCTTAACATGTTAATTAACACCATGAACTTAACTTCTTACCTAAAAGTCTTGTATAGTACACAAGCATCTCCCAACTAGTACATTTCATATTCTCTTAATACTAGATCGATTTCTTCTAGATTAATGATTCTTCTCTTATCCCCTTGCAAAAATATAATTCCAATACTTGATATATATATATATATATATAATCGAACCAACTTGTAGTACTATATGGCACTCCTCTTCTTTAATTATGAACACTTTATAAATTATATACACTCAAAACAACGATCCCTTTAAACAATCAATTAATTAAGTTGCTAATCCAAATTCAAACATTTAGTAACGAGAAAATTAGTTTGGAATTAAAGATACGTGGCGTAAAGGGTTTGAGTGGGTAGTGATTTGGTCACCAGGTATGCAGATGCAGCACCGATACATTGCATGTAGAACTGAAGCGAGAATGCATGCTTTGTTCATCAATATTGTAGTGAGGAAAAGAACGTGACACTTGTTGCATCAGAAAGTAGCTACGTAAATGAGTTCAGTGCCTCATGAGCCTAATCCATGTTGGTAACATGGTTTTCTTGATCTGTGTATGTACATACGTGCGTGACTTATACAAGTTTCGGAGCAAAGCGGTGCTAGCTAGGCCTCCTTATGTCCCTAGATGAAATCAGTAATATTGTTGAAAATTTAATGGAAGGAATATAATATAAGGCCAAACTCACATTTAAGTTCTCATACATTAAAACGACTTAAATCAAAATTCATTATTGACTTATTAACTTTTTGATTTTTTGGGTTAAAATTTACAAACTCTCAAAAATTTTTAAATGTACCATTAATTTATCAACTTTTTGGATTAAGATTTACGACCCTCAAAGAATCAAATATAAGTCATTAATAATAATTAGTCTTCACATTTATATATTAAATTCACTCAAAATTTAAACTTATTCACTAATTTAAGATTTGAGACATCATAATTTTTTCTACTTGAATACCACTTTAATAACAACTGAAACCATTTAAGCTGAAATTACTAATCTAACAAATTTTCAAATCGATATTTATAAACTCTGTTAAAATTTTTGATAAAACTTAACTCAAACTATTAATAATAATTGTTTTTTTACATTTTATATGTTATAATCACTCGTAATTCTCCATCTATATAAAATTCAAAGTGATAAACTTCCTCAAATTCTAAATTAACATGTATACGCTTAAACTAAAAATAGTATATCAAACCCTCTCAATGATGCAAATTAACCTTCCAATCTCTTTTAATTCCTTTATTTGGTTCTACTTTTTCACTATGGCAACGTGGATCAAAGCACTGTAGATGGTAAAATTCCCCTCATTTTTAGCGCACTGTAACTGTAGCAGTAAAAAAAAAAGAAAAAGGCAAAGCCGGGTTTGAGAAGTTCCTCCTACGTGAGAAATTCTGGAAGAAAGCTTTATCTTTCGCCTCCAGATTTCTCTTGGAAGGAAAATATCACAAATCCAGGATGGACCAGATTTTTAACAAGGTAGGCTCCTATTGGTTGGGTCAGAAGGCCACCAAGGAGATGAGTTCCGTCGGCGACGACATCAACGTAAGCTCTCTCTCTCTCTCTCTCTCTCTCTCTCTCCATGCCAGAATTACAGTCTCATTTTCGATTTTAATGCCGTTCTGTTGAGAATTGTTGATGAATTTGTACGCTTTCTTGATGTTTTTGAGGTGAATGAATTTTGGATCCGATTTGTGTCGATTCCTTCATTTGATCGCGTATTTATTAGGGGAGATCAGGACCTAGATGATTAGTGATTCACTCAATAATGTTAAAATTTCTCTCTCTGAATTATGATGTCAACATTATGCTCAAAATCCTCATTTTCCCTTCTTTAAGGTTGAATTTGGAGTCTTCTTCCTAGTTTTGGAGAAGAGAGTTCTGATATTGTTTAGATGTAATTCGCTCATGTCGAATTTTCAGCTAGTTCATAAATTTTATGTTTTTAATACCCCAAAAAAGTTAGAAAAATTCTGATATTATTATGTAATGATTCAAATTATCTAGTACATCTTTGAATTACTTGGAAGTTAGAAAAAAGTGGTGGCGGCCTCCAACCTTTGCTGCCTGTATATAGTTGGATAAATGAAAGAAGTTAAAATGCAAAGGTATCCGCCAAAATGTGAAATGATGATATGTGTATTAACATGGTTTGTTAGCTGATGGTGTCTAGTTTCTATTTCGGAAATTCTGCTAATGTGGCTTTTTTTTTTTAGTGTCCTTCATGCTGACATTTCTCGTTTTCCTTTTTAATCAGTCATTACAAGACAGCATTGAAGGAGGAGCAAAATGGTTGGTAAATAAAATTAAAGGTTTGAATTTTGATTGGTTTTCCTAGTACATTGTTGTTTTATGTTTTCTATTTTAGTTTGTCGTGTGGGGAAGGTTATCCTTGTTTATGATTATGTTTGTTTATGGTATATGCTAGACACGCCTGACACAGGAAAGAAGTGATATTTGGGTTATATTACCATTGACCAGGTCTGGGCCTTAATAGATTTTTGGGATTAGGTGAAAGACTTTAGAATTGCAACTTAGAATTAGCTCAGATTATCAATTACCTCAGTCACAATAAATAAGAAAGGAAGAAGGTAATTAGCTTTATGCAAATAAGTTAGATGGATCACTTATAGGAAGAAGAACGCTTCACATTGTCTGATATGCTTAGCTAAGTTCTGAAGCAAGGTAACATGAAACTTATACTTCATTTGTTCCAAAATTATGGTCCTTTTGTTATGTTAAATGCCATATTCTTACTCTCGGTGTCTCTTTTTGTTGAAGTTTAGTATAATGCTCAGAGTTCAGTTGTTAATGCTAAAGAGGAAATAGTACAATAAAGAAAAGAAAATTTTGTTCTTGACATCCCAAAACTTCCTATTTAAGCACTCAAGAGTGGGCCTACAAGTTAATAAAATGAATTCTAAACTGTCTGGAATAGCGGCACATTATGACTATTATGTAAGTTTGCAGCTTCTAACTCTGTAAGTTGTAGTCTATTAAAACTTAGCTTTTATGTTATGAGTTTTACCTTAATCTAATTCAGAATGTAATACCGATGAACATAAGAGTATATAACTGGTATTTGTTCCCCCTAATTATTAACAATCTGTTCTTCAATGAGACAACATTCTTTCTATAGGGAAAATGCAAAAGCCATTGCCAGAGCTGCTAAAAGAGTATGGCCTTCCAATAGGAATCTTCCCTCGTGATGCCACCAACTATGAATTCGATGAGGAGACAAGAAAGCTTACTGTCTTTATTCCCTCAATATGTGAAGTGGGTTACAAGGACTCGTCGGTCCTTCGCTTCTCCACCACTGTAACCGGGTATCTGGAGAAAGGAAACCTGGTTGATGTAGAAGGTATGAAGACAAAAGTGGTGATATGGGTAAAAGTAACTTCTATCTCAGCTGATGGATCAAAGCTCCAAGTTACAGCTAGGATAAAGAAGACCATGAGTAGGGAGGCTTATGAGGTTCTCAGAGATGGTGTTAGTGTAGATAAGTTTTGAAGCAATCAAAATTCAGTAACGCACTATCATTGCAAGCTGGAACTACTTTTCCACAGCTTGTGAAGTCTCATACAATTGACTCCATTATCTTCAAGATTCAAGTATAAAGACCGCTCAGTTATGGCTCGTATTTCCTATGGTTGTTGGTCGCTATAATGTAATACTCCATTCTACATTAAAGGTCCTGGAACGGTGGTAATGACATGCTTATCATTTATTTGGACATTATGATATACAGTTAGCGATTGTGTATGAACTATGAAATCTTATCAATGTGTAAGGGAAGTGTTTCCAGAGGTTCTGAGGATGCCCCGTTTTCTAATTCTGTTCTGCAGATTATATAGATTGTATATGTTTTTTTTTAACAGCAAAAATATTTATTAATAAACGGAGTACAGGGTATATGACCATCTAGTATCAACCTTCCTCGGTTTTAGTGTTAATTGGCGTACTATATCGAGTTTACCAAAAGTGATCATGCACCAGCCGGGAATCGAACCCGGGTCTGTACCGTGGCAGGGTACTATTCTACCACTAGACCACTGGTGCTTGTTGGGACAAAGTTGGGTAAGTATTTATGTTGGTCTAAAACAAAAGCTCCAATGAGAAGGCCTTTTGCTGCTTTGAGTCTTATAGCCATTTGCAGGACACGAAGAATGAATCATCTCCCACATCACTTGTATGTCTTCATATCCTCGACAAGACTCCATGTCCTTGTAAAGACTCAGCAGTCCCCCCTGCCTCCTCCCTGCCATTTTCCATGTCAATTGGTTAGCATAACATCAAACAGAAATCGAACAACGTAAAAGAGTGAAGGTGAATGAATATTAGCTTCACCTTTGGCCCTAGGTCGAGGGTGAGAAGTGACCTTCAAAAGCATACATTTTGCTGGAAAAAGAACTGATTGCTTGAAGCTTTGCCATCCCCTCCATCTCTCCATCGCCACCCTTCACATTCCTCTTGAACCTTTCCTCCCAGCTCCTCCATTATATGTACACATGTTTTGATTCCTAACATTAGTAAGACAACCAAATGCATCAGACACAACAGAAACCAACAAAGATTGAGACAGGAGTGGAGGGCAATTGTCAACTCAAGATAGAGTTTCTAATTTCTGTAGACATGGCGGCATTGCTTAATATCATATCATGGGGACCAGAAGACCATAAAAGTGAAAAATTCTTAGATAAGAGGGGAAGGTGATAATTGGGAAGAAATAGACAGTGAGTAGAGAAGGTCCCTTTGGACTTTGCTTTTCTCATTTATCCATCTTACCTAAGATTCTGAGTTTTATAACATCGAGGGCAAGTAGTGATGGGACCAGGGTCAAATGGTTGGTTGGATTTTCTTCAGCGCCTCTGTGCTTGTGTACACTTCACACTCCCAAATTTATCCTGGGTTTGTCCAATTTGTATTTAAAAAAATATTAATTGCATTTTTTTACATTTAATTTTTATAAAAAAAATCATAAAAAGTGCTTTTATTTTTATCATTAATACAAGATGCATACTTTTAATTGAACAATTGATAAAAATATAATTTTTTAATATTCAATATAAATTAAGTATTAAAAAAAATAATAAATACAACCTCAAACTATACCCTAATAAGACAGGTTAGAAATTCCCTCTCATATTTTGCCCTTTAGACTATTATAAGATGACTTTAGTAGGATAACTTGAGTTTATCAACACATCAAGAAAAAGGATAAAAACATGCGATATTCTGGTGGGAGTTGTTCCAAACTGCCATACACCGCATAGCATATTTGATATAACCAACCAACCCTGTTCTGTTCTGCTCATCTGTTTTTTGTTCTTAACCTAGCTGGAAATCTATATACCGATAAAAGGGGGAAAAAAAAAAAAAAGAAGGGGGGGAGGGGTTGGAGGGAAGTTAGGGGAAGAAGAAACACCAATCACTCAAAAAAGGAAAGGATTCATGTAGAAGGTCGATAGATTGTAGTCTTAAATGTCACCAACATTCCAAACAGTGTATGATAAACCTGAATTGCGGAGGACAAAATTAACAATTCAAAATCATTACTGCAACTAAGAGACTAATTCGAATGAACTCTCACATCAAAACATGACCACAAACAAAATAAAATTTAAGCAGCTGCAGATTGGGTGGCAGCAAGCCTCTTCCTAGCCTCCTCAATGATGGACAACTTGATACCCTTGCCCTTGGGAAGTTGCACCCATGGTTTTGTTCCTTTTCCAATGGTGAAGACATTGCCCAGGCGAGTTGCAAACTCGTGACCAGTGGCATCTTGAATGTGGACAGTCTCAAAGCTACCCTTATGCTTCTCCCTGTTCTTAATCACTCCAACACGCCCCCTATTCCTTCCTCCAGTGACCATGACAACATTACCAACATCAAACTTGATAAAGTCAACAATCTTGTTGCTCTCTAGGTCCAGTTTAATAGTGTCATTAGCCTTGATGAGTGGGTCAGGGTAGCGGATGGTGCGACCATCATAGGTGTTCAGGTATGGGATGCCTTTCTGGCCAAACTGGACAGATTTAACTTTGCAAAGCTTGAACTGCGAAGAAGGAATTTAAACTGCTATGATACAAAGCATGACACGTATTTAAAAGCCATTGATAAAGTATAAAAAGTAATAATACCTTTGCTTCATCATCCCTGATGGAGTGGAGACGGAAACGTCCCTTGGTGTCATATAGGAGACGGAAATTCTCACTTGTCTTGGGAATTGAAACGACATCTGGAAACATAAAGCAAGGCAAGAATAAAACAAAGTTTCAAAGAGCATTTCTGTTGGTGAGAGTAGCTGAAGAAAAGCCAAGTCCAGACATGGGAAAAAGAAGTAGCTGAAACAACTGCCAATAGAAAATGATTACCAAATAGCAAACATAGCCTAACAGTAACCAACGGAATATCTCCAGCTATTTCACATATCAAGAATGACTAAAGGCTAGGCTGAAAGAAAACCTATTTTTTTTATCTTGATGAGAGTAAGAGAGTTCAGTAATTGAGAACATAAAACATGGAGGAACAATAAAAGTTTACATACCCATAAAGCCAGCTGGGTAGGTCTTATCTGTCCTAACCTTCCCATCAACCAATACATGCCTCTGCATCAAGATTGCAATAACCTCACGGTATGTCAGGGCATACTTAAGCCTGTTCCTGAGTATGAGGATCAAAGGCAGGCATTCTCTGGATTTGTGGGGTCCAGATGATGGTTTGGGAGCCTGTTCATATGAATTAATCAAATTATAATTAAAATAGTGGAAGTCAAGTACAAAGAGAAAACAAGAAAACACGAACTGGATCAAAAGTAAAAGTTTCAAGGTAAATAACATACAAATGCACCACCAAGCTTATCAAGCATCCAATGCTTGGGAGCATTGAGCCTCTTCAAGTGCTTCTTCAGCCCTCTTGCCTGTGAGGAACCACAAAAGTATAGTTAAATAGAAAATCAAAAGAACCTACGCTCAGTTTACCAACAGAGCCAGGGTATATATCAAGTTAAAGTCACAAAGTAACTAGCACCACCAAGCTAATATTTACATGGTAGAGGAGCAAAAATGATTTACTTGTCATAGAAAAGCAGGAATCCCCAATTTGATTTAATAATCACACTTTCAAAAGACACACACCCTCCAACAAAAGAGACAAAGCAATAAGCAGACAAGATCAACATTTAAAACAAAAGCCAGAAGCTTGATCGTTCGGAACAACTTTTTAACGGTATTATGCTAAACCCACATGATAAACAGCCATTTTCTCGGATACAGATGCAAATACGCATCAAAATAAGCTGAATGACAAGCAACCCACAACAAGAGATCCATTTTCAGAAC